TGTAGATTTCCATATGTCTGAAATTAGTTTGTGTACGTTTTCTTCCATATATGCACTAACATATTTGTACAGTTCATCTCGCCAAATGTAAATACTGAATGTATTGTTTGGGGACGTAGAGGCTTTGAGATTCTGTCAAATAAAGTTTATGGGTCTAACTTAACCAGGTGTGCAGTTCTGTCAATTAATGCTTACATCTGGGGACATAAACAGTATTTTTTATTTTTTTTATTTTTCTAATGTCTTATATTGTGACATCCTATATAATGGTGTGGTTTTTTTTTTTTCTGATATATTTTGTTGTGGCACCCTATATTCTCCTCTGCATGTTTGTTTGTTTTTGTTTATTCCTTTTTCTTGTTATTCATGCATTCTTTTCCTTTCTTTCTTTCTTCATTTATTTATATAAATACTTGACATACTTTCCTTTCAACGTCAGGATTTTAGGATAATATTTTTATTTGTTTATTTATACTTGTTGTGTTGCTAGATGTTTCTTTTCAATTTATTTTACTGTTTTCTAGACACTTTTTCTCGCTTGTTTTGCTGTTCACTTTAATTTGACCAAACCTTTAGTGTAACACGGAGGTTTTAGAAACATACAGCAGTTCCAGTCCTCAGATTTGATTGGCTGAGCGTCTGTGTGTTGCTCGAGACACACAACTACCGGCCAGTTTTCATCTGAAACGTAAGATACCTGATATTAATTACCTGCTTATTGAACTGTTGTATAAGAAATACTTTACTCACAGTCCAGTTGAAATGACATCACAGCAAACTTGATTATACTTAAAAATTTTAAGCATCAACTGAGCGTATGTTTTTATGTCGAATTAGGTGGAATATTTTAACAAAGCTTTCACTGCTTGAAGTCAGAATATAAAAAGACTTGGAAGTTCTTAAAATATTGATGGGAGGCTTAAAGGATGAATTTGTAAATACAGAGCTGTTTCTTTGTAACATGATCAATATAAATACCCTGACATTATCTGTCACCATAGCAACAGCTGATTCTCCTGTCAGTCAGTGCAGTGTGTGTGTGTGTGTGTGTGAGAGTGTGTGTGTGTGAGTGTGTGTGTGTGTGTGAGAGTGTGTGTGTGTGAGTGTGTGTGTGTGTGTGAGAGTGTGTGTGTGTGAGTGTGTGTGTGTGTGTGAGAGTGTGTGTGTGTGAGTGTGTGTGTGTGTGTGAGAGTGTGTGTGTGTGAGTGTGTGTGTGTGTGTGAGTGTGTGTGTGTGTGTGTTTGCCTGTGGAATAATTGGTAACTACATTTAGGTTCAAAAAACTTTTTTTTTATTGCTGTTCAAAGTGATTTTTGTATGTTGTATGTTGCTTCTTGAGTCTGAACAATTACAGACAAATCTGAAACAAAATATCACACGTGTTTGTGCTTTAGGAGGTTATGATATGAGGCTGTACTGTCAGTGTGATGTTAGCTCTAAACTGCTGGATGATACAAGTTTGTTAAAATGGTAGTGGGGTAAGTTGAGCCAAAAGCCCTGATGATAAAGTACTATTTTATTGTAATTCTACATGATATTTCCTTAATTTTAGACCAAACATTTTTGATTTTGTCCTTTGTTTTGAACTTGATTTTGTTCTGAAAATGTTAACATTTTAAATAGGCCTTGTTTATGAAAATTGGCCATTGAGGCTTTTATGAAATTGTATTTCCCTGCAACATTTATTAGCGGTATGTTGAGTTCTGTTAGCTCAATTGCAGTCATTTTTTTTTATTCTTCAATTTGAACTTTATTTTGTGCTGAATTTTTAAAATAATTTCAAAAACGCTGTATCTTTAAATTAAACTTTTAAGAACTCATCCATTCCATTATCCACAGCTGCTTGTCTTTATTAGGGTCCCGGGGAGCTGGATTGTAACCCAGCATCTTGAGCCACCGGTGGGGAAACTCTCTGGATGAACGGTCAGTCCATCACAAGCCTCACACACAGATTATGTCATTTTTATTGAATTTCTCTTCCTTTGATATAGCACGAGGTGAAAATGTTCAGTTTTACTTTTCACAGAATAATCAATGGCACAGTTCAACTACATGTGGCTCAACTCCTTACCATAATATTGTAATACTAATAAAACATAATTACTGCAATATTGCTATAATACAAAAATCCTTACTGTAATAATATTAATACTAATAATCCTTACTATAATACTATTGTACTGTCTTTGATCTTTGTTTTAAAAAGTGTTGAGAACTCAAAAGTGAGAGTTTTGTGGGAAAATGTAGTTTATTAATATAAGTATTGTATATTTATGTCGCATGTTTTTCACACACTATATGAGTATTAAGCTCCATATATAAACACCGACTCTATTCCCTTATATTATCTCACAGCGCCATCTAGTGCTCATCTACTGGCATTACCAGAGTGTCCATTCATTCACGCATGACCACTAGCACTCAAATACAGTTTATCCTTCACAGATCACACATCTAAAATGATGCATTCTATAATTAAACTTTATTTATATAAAGTAAAAAACAAACAAACAAAGCATGTTTTTAAGGCAAAGGTAGATGTGTGTTTGACAGTGAACTAACAGCCAGTGCTGGTCACTTCACAGCATCTAAAGATCAAACACACACATCAGAGTCCTCCTCCTCCTCCACCAGAGAAGATGAGCTCGAGAGCGGCCTGCAGATCTCCGTTTGTGGCTGTTAGCGCTCGCAGAGCCACCTCCTCATCCTGGATGCCCATATCCCTCAACTGCTGCATCTGCGTCTGCCAGCGGCCCTGCAGACACACACACACACACACACACAGACAGACAGACAGACAGACAGACAGACACACACACACCCACGCACACAAACACGCACACACGCAGACAGATGCACACACACACACGCAGACACACACGCACACAAACAAACACGCAGACACACACGCACACACATACACACACACACGCAGACACAGACAGATGAACACAGACACACACACACACACACACACACACACACACACACACACACACACAGGCAGACAGACACACACACAGACACGCACACAGACACACGCACACACACGCACGCACGTACGACGTACAGACACACACAGACGTATAAAGACACACGTGTTAAAGCCAGCAGCACATCAGTTCTCTACTGCTCTCTTTTAATAGAATTAAAGGGACAGTTCACCCAGAAATTAAAATTCTGTCCTGATTTACTCACCTTCATGTTGTTCCAAACCTGAATGAGTTTCTCCAGTAGAACATGAAGATATTTTGAAGAATGTTGGGAACCAAACAGCTGATGGACCCCATTGACTTCAACAGTATGTATGTGTGTAAAAAAATGTCATGGAAGTCAATGGAGACCAGCAACTGTTTGGTTCCCAACATTCTTCAAAATATCACAGAAGACCGTTCAGCAGAAGAGAGAAACTCATACAGGAGAGTAAACGATGACAATGTTTTGGGTGAACCATCGCTTTAAGTCTTATTTTCTAAAGCGTTTATCGAGCACAAAACGGTTATATCCACGAAAGACCATGTGATAGTTCTGAAAACACATGGAGATTGTTCATATGCAGAAATTATGCAAAATTTGAATTGTGCTTGTATACCATGCATATATTTCTTCATACTAACTAAAATGCAATAATAATAAAAAGCCTAACTATAATATTAATTAATATTATTAATATAATAATATTCATAATCATATTAGGGTTTCTGCAGGTTTTATGAAGGTTAATTTAAGACGTTTTAAGAGCGAGTAAAATAAATAAATAGAATGGAACACGATACATCGATGTGCTCTCTACATGTAAATGTCTTGTGTTATCAACGCTTCAAAGTTTTGAAGCTTAAGTCTTGAATATCTCTGCTCCAAACACTAGAATACTGAAATAACTGCTGCAGATTATTCTGGTTAAACTGCAGAAAAGTGCTGCTCTTCCTCAGTGTTTCTCTTGTTTTCCAGTGCAAATGTCTAACAGCTTATAAATCAAGACGCATTTACTGGAGATGCAAAATGAAGTCTTGTTTAATGAGAAATTGGTCAAAATTGAGCTGATAATTAAAGTTATAATTAAAACAAGCAAATATCTTTTAAACAAACTCATTTTGTTCAGTTTCTCTGAAAACAAGACTCTTGATTTAAGGATGTTCAGATAATTGCAATGGAACATTTAATACCATAACTTTATGAATTTAAGGCTTGCTGATCTGATGCCTTAATGTGTGTTTTAAGACCTGCAGAAGCCGTTTATGCAGTGTGTGTGTGTGTGAGAGAGAGTGTGTGTGAGTGTGTTGTGGTCGTGTGTGTGTGTGTTGTGGTCGTGTGTGTGTGTGTGTGTGAGAGAGAGCGTGTGTGAGTGTGTTGTGGTCGTGTGTGAGTGTTTGAGTATGAGTGTGAGTGTGTGTGTGTGTGTGTGTGAGTGAGTGAGTGTGTGTGTGTGAGTTGTGGTCGTGTGTGTGTGTGTGTGAGTGAGTGAGTGTGTGTGTGTGAGTTGTGGTCGTGTGTGTGTGTGTGTGAGTGAGTGAGTGTGTGTGTGTGAGTTGTGGTCGTGTGTGTGTGTGTGTGAGTGAGTGAGTGTGTGTGTGTGAGTTGTGGTCGTGTGTGTGTGTGTGTGAGTGAGTGAGTGTGTGTGTGTGAGTTGTGGTCGTGTGTGTGTGTGTGTGAGTGAGTGAGTGTGTGTGTGTGAGTTGTGGTCGTGTGTGTGTGTGTGTGAGTGAGTGAGTGTGTGTGTGTGAGTTGTGGTCGTGTGTGTGTGTGTGTGAGTGAGTGAGTGTGTGTGTGTGAGTTGTGGTCGTGTGTGTGTGTGTGTGAGTGAGTGAGTGTGTGTGTGTGAGTTGTGGTCGTGTGTGTGTGTGTGTGAGTGAGTGAGTGTGTGTGTGTGAGTTGTGGTCGTGTGTGTGTGTGTGTGAGTGAGTGAGTGTGTGTGTGTGAGTTGTGGTCGTGTGTGTGTGTGTGTGAGTGAGTGAGTGTGTGTGTGTGAGTTGTGGTCGTGTGTGTGTGTGTGTGAGTGAGTGAGTGTGTGTGTGTGTGGGAGTGTGTGTGTGAGTTGTGGTCTTGTGTGTGTGTGTGTGTGTGTGTGTGTGTGTGGCCGTGTCACCTGAGGTGAGCTCACGCTAGAGGCCTGTAGCGCCTGCTGCAGCGCGTGACTGAACAGACTGCTGCTGACGCGAGCTCCTGATGCTCCGCTGGAAGACACCTCCTGCAGAGTAAAGCACAGTGAGTGTACTCTGAGGACTGAGATGTGAGCTGAGACTCTGGTGTTTAGTCTGTGTGTGACCTGAGCGCTCCGTGTCGGTGTGACGCCGCTGCTCTCCGGAGTGCTGGCTAACGCTAGTGCAGACGCCAGCTCGCTCTGAGTGATGGGTCTGGGGCCCGTGGCTCCGCTGTGACCAAACGTCAGCGGTCTGGAGCCTGCAGACCCTCGCTGGGCTCGAGACGAACCGCCTCTGCTTTCCTGCTTCAAACAACACGTATTACATGCGGATGTTTATTCATACTGTAATATTACAACACATGAATATACTATCTTGTCACTGTGATATTACAATAATACTAAACATTTTCCTCATTACAATATTATTATAAATACTAATTAAAAAACCTCTCCTTACTATAATATTACTATAATAATAAAACATTCTCTTCACTATAATAATTATTATTATTATGATGATAATAAAAAAATCCCCTTTATATAATATTACTTTTAAAAATCCCCTTATTATAATATATAAATTATCTTTACTATAACAACCATAATAAACATAACAACAACAATAATAATTTCCCTTACTATAATATTATAACAATTTATAAAATCTCCTTATTATAATATTACTATAATAATAAAAAACTTATTATAATAATAACAAATATCTTTACCATCACAGTTACAATAATTAATTCTTACTGCAAAATTAATAACAATTCCCCTTACTATATTATAATATTTTAAAATTACTATATTACAACAATTTAAAAAATCCCCTTACTATAACAATAATAGTAATAATCATCATCATCATTCCCCTTCTATAATATTATTCTAATTTATCTATCTATCTATCTATCTATCTATCTATCTCTATATGTCTATGTCTATGTTTATATATACACAAAATATTTTAACATCAAAACATCTGTATATTTAACATTGAAGGGGGAAAAAACGTACAGATTGGAAATCGTCCTCATCATCCGACATGCCATCAAACAGAAAACCTCCTGTTACACACAGACAAGAAATGACTCCTGTTTAAGCATCAGTGAGTAGGTGCTGTGTTTTCTGGATCCGCTGATGTGAGTGTGAGTACCTGGCATCTCACTGAAGGAGGTGGAGGCGGGGTTTCGTGAGGAGCTGCTGCCGGTCACGGAGTGCAGGACCAGGATGATGGCGTTGACCAGCGCCGGGTGAGACTGGATCAGCCTGTGTGAGGTGATGGAGATCATGTTCACTGAGGCTCTGTGAGTGAGCAGCTGTGTCTGTGTGTGTTCAGGAGACTCACATGTCCAGCAGCTTGGGGTCTGTGAACTGAACGAACAGATCCTTATCCTGCAGCACACCTGCAAAATCATGATGAGCTGATGAGAGACGGACCGACTCAAACCCACGAGCTGCAATGTGCTTCACACTCATCCTACCTAAAGCCACGGGGTCAGAGCTGAGTCCCGGCGAGGCCACGATGATCTGCTCCAGAGACTCTTTATTAGCCAGCATCTTAAACACCTGCAACCCACGCGAGTATGATTAACTGATTTACGGTTTGCTTGTTTCTTCATATAAGCAAGTTTGCAACTTGGTGACTTTTGTGGCACTTGATATATGAACAGGAAAATAAATAAATACAATAAATAAATAATAAAGTCACTGACATGATTAGACATGAAGCTAAATGGTCTTAAAAATAGACACATGGTCAAAATGAAAAACCATCATAGGAAATGAATGGGAAATACAAAAATTTTATTTATTTTAAATACCTTTAATATATATTTAACTTAAACACTATTAAATGAAAAACAAATTTTTTATATATATTTGTATTATTTTACATAGAAATAAATGATGCATAATGTAGATGCAAATATTGTATAGTACAAGTAAATTCCCTCAAAATACAAAATATTAAATAAATATTACTGAAACAAAATATACTACATCAATTTCAAGAATAATTATATAAATGAATGAATGAATGTGGAATACCAGAGGGTTTAAAAAGAAACGTGTTAAATCAGTATTCACACTACGTACAGTTGCAATTTGCAAATTCTTTCAAACATTTATTCTGTAGTTTATTGTGGACTCGGTAATGAAAACAAAAATGTTCATGTTGCTCTATTCTGACTTTGCTTTCATTCGGACATTTATTCAGCAGAATTTTAATTTATGAGCGAAAGGTAATATGTGACCCTGGAGCACAAAAGCAGTCTTAAGTCGCTGGGTTATATTTGTAGCAATAGCCAACAATACATT